ATGTTGTTGAGATGAAAGAAGCGATGGCAGCTTTTTTTGGCAGTGACAGCGTTGCAATTTCTTGCCACTGTAAGAGATCAAAAATTATTTTCATCAAAGTTTTGACGGAAGTGTGTTCTCTAGAGAATATATCGTCCTGGAACTGGCGAAAAATCGCAGTGGCATGGTCTGTTTCAGTGTTGTTGACGTTAAGATCGCTGGTTTGCATGTGGAAGACATGCAGAAAAGGTGGGTAATTTTTACTCTCTTTGTTTACTGCATGTTCCGTGCAACTCGGTACCAAAAGAAATTAAAAAGTAGTGGAAGAAAAATTATTGGGCTTTGTTTTGGTATATAAATTAGCTTGTACCGAGTTGCACGAAAGCGTCAGTTTTATTGAATGTGTATCCCGTTTTTGTGTCAAAATTCGAATTTGCGAATCTAACATTCGACAACATTCGACTGTTGATCGAAAAGAGCGTATTACAACGCTATCCAAAATGTTTTTGTTGTTTAGTTCAAGTTTCTTATCACGGATTCAACCAAAAAAAGTAGAGGGACAGACATTTTTGGGCTTTGTTTTGTTAATATGACTTAGCTAGTACTTTGTTGCTGGAAAAACTATATTTAGATGCTAAATCTCCTTGTGTGTGTGTTTACTCCGTTTATGGCAGAAAAATAAGCTTACGCTTTCGATACGCTTGGTTCAAGTTAATCTCGTGTCACTCGGTACAAAGGGAAATTATAAAGAAGGTAAATTAATATTCTTAGCGATTGTCTTGCTGTTTAAATTGTCTTGTGGCTAGTGGATCGAAAGCGACCGGGTTTGCCGCAGTTTTCTAAAGTGCGTAGTTCGAAACGTTATGTTGTCGATCGATGCAGATTTCATTGTTGTTGCACATTAGGGCCATTTATACGAGGAAAAATAAGACGCGTCTTACATAAGACGCGTCTTATTTTTCCTCGTATAAATGGTCCTATTATTACAGCTTTGTATGTGAAAGAAATTTGAGTTTTAACCGAACTGTCGAATGAAAAAATGTGGGAGTGTTTTCATTAAACGCTTAGACTGTCTTGGAGCTACAGTTTGATAGGTCCAGCAACATTTTGATTTGTAAAAAAAATTCTGTTTACAGAATGTGTACAGCTTCTGTACATTTAGGGTTGCAATTTTATAATTGAAGGATCGAAGTTTAGATTATTTTGCTCATAAACTTGGCTTGGGATTATCCATACAACGACTTAGGGAAAGTTCATTTAATATGACAAGGGGGGGATGAAGATATTGAGGGGGGGCTCCGAAAATTTTTAGACACCCGAAGGGGGGGCTCTGAAAAAATTGTTGCGCTAGGAGGGGGGTCCAGTCAAGCCATCTTAAGTTTAGGAATAGTTCGACGTCTGCCTCAGTTTAGTTCGTCGGAATGAGTTTGGATCGTCGAACACGTTCTATCCGCCTGCTTCAGAAGCATAGAACGTCGTAAGATTGTCTCCGGGACAAACGTTTATCTTCACATGCGACGATGAACTATTAATTGTAAAATTAAAAATTTGTATGATGTATAATTAGCCTCGTTCGTGAGAATATTGATCAAAATTGCTTTTTGCTCTGATTCATGCAGTGGACTGGTTCGAGGGTCCTAAGTTCGACGTCTGCTGACCAACATACTATCTTAATTTAATTTAGGTCGACCCAAAGGTGTAAACAAATTAGAGTTTGGTTCGTCTAATGAAAAGTTTGACGTTTGGCCTGGGCCTAATACAAACATTGCGTCTTTGGTGAGTCATTTGGTATAAATATTGAAGTGGAAAGCGAAATATCAAAGTTTACAGAGTCTGCGAGAAGTGTGATAACTACATCGTTCGGCAGTTATATTCAATAATCTAGTAGTTATATTCGATTCTCACATACTGTCATAATGAAAACGATTTCAGGGAGCGTTTTTTCAAAGACATATTCCGCCCACGTTCAATCTAACTTAATGTTTGCAGCGTTCTGAGATGAATCAAACAAAAAACCCTAATGAACAAAAACTGTTAAATGAAGTATATTTACAATAAATTAAGCTTTTCACGGTATAAAATTGGAAATAAGACTAAAATTTACGAATATGCTTCCTAAATAATGAATTAAAATACTTTATAAAAACTAATAAAGGACTTTCATCAAAAATCACAATATAAAACGATTTAAACTGTCGGTCTAAAAACGAAATGTCAGGCCAGACTAACCATGAAATTTGGTTTAAAAAATCTCTGAATTGGCATAAAATCACTTAAAAGACCTCAAATTGCGAAAGGTGGCTCCTGATCCCCTAACGCACATGTGGTCGTCAGACCTTACAATGTCAAAACAGTGGTTCCCCGTCCTTAAAACGAGATAGCTTGTCAGCTAGGTTTTTCAACAGTAACTGACGTTCGGTTCCCATTTCGCAGTTCGTACCAGAAACCCGAGGATTAATAGTCCCCATTCGCCATCAAATAAACCCGGCAATAAATGATTAAAACTATAAATATAAATTATAAATAGAGTTTACAAATAATAGGGCACTTTCAAGTTCTGAAAACCCTTAAGTTTAAAAGAAAGCGAAATAATTGACCATTACTCAGATTTAAAATTACGTTATTTTGACGATAACTTGGATTTTATATCTTTTCTGCACTTCACACTTTTGCTAATATCAACGAAATCCCTACACTAGGGGAAAATTATCATTTTTCAACTTCTCGGCATTTCTGACTCAGCGATGTAACATTTTCTAAGCAAATTTTATCAGCAATTTAGCCGGTGTGACATATTTAGTAAAATACTTGACAGCTGCATGAGTTCGATGCATTTACTAAGAAAATAAAGCCTGAAAAAGTACTTATTAATTGCACACTATTATAAAGTAACATTCTCCTCAGTCTTAAAG